GACTTCTCTAAAAACAAGTGAGAGAAGTCTCCCCTTTATGGACATTCCTAATGGCAAAAAGACCATCCTTCCGCAAACCTTCAACAAACCCCTAACAACCAACTATTGCTCAGGGCACTCACCTGTGATCCTTTGTCCGTCCAAACAGTCCCATACCTGTATTCCGTAACGCCTATACCCAAAGAGTACCTATTCCCTAAATCCTATCAACATCTCCTATGACCGCCTCCTATCACCGTCGCATATCTCCATCACTGAAGTCACTCGGTTGTGAATTCGTTGTCCCCAAGTGAGATTCACCAATTCACGAGGGATCGTCGGTGACCTCGAATTTTGACACTTCAACTAGGCTATCATGGTAGATCACTCTATTTATGATATTTTACATGTTGATGGACATGACAATCCCATGTACTGGGCGGAGGTTGTGCCCATACTATCACACGAGATCGCATTTTTTGCTCCTCCACTGCTTTGCTTGGTTAGAGTTGGGATTGCCATTGACAAAAATTTGTTCTTTCCTTCAGGTCTTGAAAACCCTCCTGATGCCATATACTAGAGAGACTAGGCCTATAGGACTTTCTTGGAGTATTGTATTGGGGGTTCAGGGTAATAAGAGAAAACACAGTAAGCATACAGCCCATACAGGTTAGCATGATTAGGTACCAAGAAATCCGCCACAGTAAAATCCCCATCCCTTGGCGTCAATCTTCACATCCAATGATGCTTAATATGTCACCTCCCACGATTACATAACTAAGAGTAAACTTGGTTTACTATGGGTTGGCTAAATACATGAACTCAGCTATTACATTTTCTTTGGAACAAACTCTGCATTTTAGCACAAAATGCTGAAAGCATGGTACAGCTAAACCCCTCTAATAAGAAAGATTTAGTGACCCTTCTTATTGCTTTGTGCCCAGAGAAGGCACATGATGGATATATTTGTCAGCTGTACTAGTATATGAGACCTATACATGAACGTGTTTTGTGTCTTTTCTTTTCATCATTTACAACAACCACTGAACCTGAAAATGCCTCTCACCAACATCACCAAACTTGGGAGAATTTCCACTTTCAGAACAACTCAATCTGTTTGTTTTACTGGTCTATATGGCAAACGCGGTCTTTCCTCTAGCCCTCAAGTGAGTCAGCCCATGTGAACAACTAGAATTTGTTTTAATCAATACTAATGAGGTGATGTACTAGATGAATACCGATGCAGATCCAGAGGTGGAGAGTGGCGAAGAGGTTCCGATTAATACTTCGCTTCCCAATAGAGTTAGCATACTGGAGCAGTTAAGACCTTGTAATTGAAGATCAACTTCAAAATATATTAACTGGATGCAAGGGATATGCTGCATTGAGTTCAAAGGTCGATACCGGGTTCAATCAAATCAATGATAGATTTGACAAAATTGATCAGAGATTTGACAGGATTGATGCCAAGGTTGATGGTTGGGTTAAATGCAGTATTAGGGTCGGTTTAGGGTTGGTTGGCACTGGTATTCTAGCAGTATGTCTTCGCTCTGTTCAAACTCCTTCGTTTTTCTTTAACTAATATCCCTGGAGATATGGGATACCAAAAGGGAGATACACCAGACCCAAAAGGAGATACACCAGACCCAAAATGAGATGCAGAAGTTTATTAAGGAATCAATTACAGAATCTGAGAACAGGCTCAAGTCAAAGATCGCAGAATCTGAGGTCAGGCTTGAGTCAAAGTTGATGTTAGCTTTTGTGAGAGAGGTTCATGAGAATGTGAAGGGTGAAGTACAGCATGCTGTTGGCATAATGAATGCAAACAAAAATGGGAAGGCTCAGGGGTGAACTTCTGCATTGTTTATTTGATAATGGTTTGTTTTTACTTTCAATGGAGATAGACGGCATAGCATGAGCTTGAATTCATTATTTTAGTTAATAGGTGTGGGATGACTTCATGTGCAGTGATCTAGCATGCCGGAGAAGAGTGAGAGTACCGAGGTACCGGGTACAATGGTAAGTCGCGTGCGGCACCACAAATCTCAGTTTACTAGCCTATTATGGAGGTCGTCAGCCTATTCCGGGTGTTGCCCGACTTTTTTCGCTTGTACAAAAAAACATTGCAAAACATGTCTACCCCCATTCTCACCCATACGCCAGATCTGTGTGTCACCCGACTTACCAGTACTCTCTCCAAGATACCTCTCTTCACTACCGATAGTATCAATAGCTGGGACCCACACTCGCTCTCCATCCCCAGGGGGTAGACCCAATCAGAAGAGCAAACAACTCATCTCGGATACTACTGCTACCACCACATCCTCCCCACTCGCAACAAATGCCTCAAAAAAAAATACAGCACAATGTCAGCTCCCCATTCTTACCACCCCGCATACTCTAACCCTCTCGTCTGAGGAAGCCGCCATACGTAAATTCTTTGTCGACACCACGCAAGAAGTCGACAAAGACAAGCCCGAGGATGACCGCCTGCTTTTGCACTTCACCAACGGTTGGGCTAGGGCTCTGAAGCACAGATATCGACATGGGGATAAAAAATATGACTGGGTATGATTTCACAACTTGACTGTTCGAGTACATTGGTACAAGCATGGAGAAGTACGGCCCCAAACTGGGCAGTGTGAGCAAGATCGAGAGCAATCCCAAGAAGTCCACGCATCTGGAGACTGCTCGTATGAAGATTCTAGGATTGGATTTCGATTTTGTTAATCTGAGGAGTGAGTCGTATTCTGGAGATAGTCAGATTCCACATATGGTCTGTTCCACTTCACCCTCAACTGTTTCACAGGGGACGTTGACCAGATGGCCCCAGGAATTCGGAACCCCAAAACAAGATGCCCTCCACCACGACTGCACATCAACACCCTTTTTTACAACCTACACACTGAACTACTGGAGAATTTCAGAGGCC